TTTCTATCACATCAACCTTTGCACGATTCACCTCAATAGCCTTACTTGACACTAGGTGCCCCACGACTATACCTTCCTGTACCATGAAATGGCACTTTTCCCAGTTGAGTACCAGATTAGTCTCGATACACCTTTTCAAAACTATTCTCAAGTTCACAAGGCAATCATCGAATGAATTCCCCACCACTGAGAAGTCATCCATGAAAACCTCTATTATCTTCTCTATCATATCTGTGAAGATGGCCATCATGCACCTTTGGAATGTGGCGGGTGCGTTGCATAGGCCAAACCGCATTCTCCGAAAGGCATAGATACCATAAGGGCAGGTGAAAGACGTATTCTCTCTATCATCCGGGGCAATATAAATCTGATTATACCCCGAGTACCCATCCAGAAAGCAAAAGTGAGACCTCCCTACCAATCTATCTAGTATCTGATCAATGAATGGCAGTGGGAAATGGTCCTTCCTGGTAGCCAAGTTCAACTTCCTGTAATCCTTACAGATTCACCAACATGTGACTGTTCGTGTAGAGATCAACTCGTTCTTCTCATTTTTCACTACCGTCATACCTCCTTTTTTTGGTACACACTAAACTAGGCTAACCCAGTTGCTGTCAGAGATTGGGAATATGATTCCCGCATCTAACCACTTGATCACTTCTTTCTTCACCACTTCTTTCATGTTGGGGTTCAGCCTTCTTTGATGTTCTCTATCTGTGCCCATCTTCCAGTAAAATCTTATGCATACAGAAGGCCGGGTTGATCCCTTTTATGTCTGCAATGGTCCACCCAATTGCAGTCTTACACTCAGTTAGTACCTGCAAAAGTTGTTATGCCTGCACATCTAATAAACTGGATGAGATAATAACAGGTAGAGTTGAGTTAGGTCCTAAGAATGTATACTTGAGATGAGATGGCAGTGGTTTTAGTTCCAACTTTGGTGGCTCTTCTATTGATTGTTTAGCTGGAGGAGTTTTTCTTTCCTCTAAGTGCAAGGGCTTAAATTCGAGCTCCCTTCTCCAAAAACCTTGCCCTTCAAGAGCAAGTACCCACTCTGCTAAGTCTTCAACATTAGCTTCATCTAAGTTCATGAGACATGCTGCTAGAGGGTCTTTAATGTTCAATGCCTTATCTTCCTCCTCCAAAACTACATCCATCGCATCTATTAGAGAGTAATTAGCAAATTCACTTGGTCTCTGCATAGATTTCTACACGTTGAATGTTATCTCTTCATCGTTTAATCTCATCTTGAGCTCTCCAATTTCACAATCAATTAAAGCTCTCCCAGTGGCCAAGAATGGTCTTCCCAAAATTATGGGAATTTCCTCTTCAACCCGACAGTCAATGACAAAATCTGCTGGGAACACAAACTTCCCAACCTGTACCAATACATCATCTAGAATCCCAGAGGGCCTCTTCACTAGGGGTGTGCATTCGATTTATCGATTCGATTTTGACCCTTATCGATAATTACTTATCGATTATCGATTTGTACATATGCTTATCATTATCATTTCAATAAGGTTTCGATTTTGATTTATCGATTTTTGGGGCTTATCGATTCGGTTATCGATTACACCAATAAGAAAATTTGCGGGATTCCACGGAAAGTATATCGCTATAAACACGCCTAACTAATATGGACAAAAAGAAGCTAAAACTGGCGCTGAAGAATGTGTAGAGGAAATAATAGGGTTAGGGACTTAGGGTAAAGGAAAGGGTATTATAGAATAAGGGTATATTTGTCTTTTTAGTATATATCTTATCGGTTTATCAATAAACCGATAATCGAAGAGGACAAAATCAAAATCAAAATCGATAACTCGATAAGAAAAATTTCGAAATCGAAATCCAAATAGATAAAACGATAACAAATAATCGATTCAATTTATCGATAAACAGATTCGAATGCACACACCTACTCTTCACTGTTCGGTCAGCCAGTTGTAGTAACATAGACGTGGGTCTAGCTCTTCCAATGCCTAGCCTTTTGTAGATAGCTAGGGGCATAAGGTTTATGCTTGCTCCTAGATCACATAGTGCCTTAGCAAATGCAAAGTTGCCTATTGTGGAAGGGATTGTGAAACTCCCTGGGTCAGACAGCTTCTCAGCTATGGGTCTCATCACAATAGCACTATAGGTCTGAGTTAGTGTAACCGTGGCCAAGTCTTGAAAGTCGAACTTGCGGGACATCAAGTCCTTCATCATCTTCGCATAACCAGGCATCTCCGTTAAAGCATCAATCAATGGAATGTTTACCTGAATTTGCTTCAACATCTCCAAGAATTTCTTGAACTGCTCATCTTTCTGATACTTGGCCAATCTTTGTGGGAATGGTGCTGGAGGTCGCTTCTTCCCTGTGATTTGATTTTTTTCTTGTTCAAGCTCTGCTTCTATTGTCGGCTCCGGTGCAACCTCCGTCTCTTTCACAACCTCTTCTTCTTTGTTGGTGTTCTCTTGTGCATGTTGTACTGTCACCTCAGTGAATCCTGCTGAATCATCTATCTTAATGGGTATTGTCACTAGTGTCTTAATTGGTCTGCTTTTGCGAGCAATTTCTTGCTCCAGATCTAAGTCTCTACCATTACGGAGACTCACTGCCATCAGTTGCTTCGGGCCCTGCTCTTTTGGATTGATTTGGGTGTCTGCAGGTAATATCCCATGGGGACGATTATTTAGGGCCATAGAAATCTGTCCTAATTGGATCTCAATATTCTTTATTGATGAGTCTACTCTATCAGTTAGTTTTCCAGTAGACCCAATCACTTGTTGCATCATTCCCTCAAGTTTAGCAAACCCATCTTCGTGTCTCACAGTCTGTTGATGTTGAGGTTGTTGATAAGCCTGCTGCTGATTTTGCTAGTTGTAACCCTGTTGCCTTTGGTAAGGCATCATTTGACCCTGTGGTCGCATAGCCCCAAGGTTATTGTTGTTGTTGTACTGCTTCTGAGCCGGCCTATATTGTTGATTCTGCTGACCCCAATTCTGACCACCTGGTCTCGGTCCCCGTAGTTGGACACATAATTCATGTTCTCCTGATATTGTTGGTTATCACCTTCAGCACTCCACGAGCAGACATATGGTTGATTAATGCATGATGTACATAAACCCCCATTAGTTGCATCAACTATGTGTACCTGCTGCTTCTGGCCTGATTCATCAACCTTTGTGATGAGGATGCTCATTTGTGTCAGTAGAGTGGCCATATTTTCAACTATGGAGTTAGCCGGGTCTAAAGCCACTGAGTGAACCACAGGAGTGATTGGAGCGTTTCTTGTCGTCCATCCTGAGTTTTGTGTCATCTTGTCAAGTAGGATCTTGTTCTCTCTGAATGTTTTGCTAAAAAATGTTCCACCTGCTGAAGCATCAACATTGGCCTTCAAGCTATCTGCCAAACCCATGTAAAACTTCTGCCCCAATATTTGCTCCAGAATACCATGATGTGGACATGTAACCAGCAGACCCTTGAACCTCTCTCATGTTTCTTGTAACGTCTCTGTTGGTTTCTGTCTGAAGCTCAATATCTCATCAATTTGCTGAGCAGTCTTGTTGGGTGGGTGAAATTTGTTCACAAATTGCCTGACTAATTCCTCCCAAGTAGTGATGGAGTTTATGGGGAGTGAATTAAGCCAAGTCTGAGTTGCTCCTGTCACTGATAATGGAAACAACAAAAGACATATTGCTTCCGGTGTCACATCATGTTGCCTCTGCGTGGCACAGATTGACAGAAAATTCTTCAGATGCTGCTGAAGATCTTCAACGTATGACCCAGAGAACAGTCCCTTGTTCTGCAACAAATGTAGCATGTTATTTGTGATCTGGAATGAATCTGCTTGTATCTGCTCCTATAATGGCAGTTGCTAAGTTGTCAGCAGTGGGTTGCGCCCAGTCATATAGTGCTGCTTCTGGCACAAGAGGTACCACACCCTGATTGTTTGGGTCATTCTCGTTGTTTCTATTGTTTAGATGATCGTCTTCCATGTCTGGTTCGATATGCTCTGATGAGTTCTGTTGTGGTTTGCCTTTCTTGTTTGAACGATTCAATGCCTTAAAAACATTCTCATGATCCGATAATGCTTCAAATAACTCATCAGTTCTTGAGGAGTTTCTAGGCATGCACCTATAACACCCAAGACTACAAACGTCAGAATTTCAATGATCAGTTTAAATTAAAGAAAATTGACTACAGTAAGATTTTTTGCACTTCTTTTTAACTGTAATTAATAACACCGTTAAGTCCCCGGCAAATGCGCCAAAATTTTATCACGCCCAACAATGCCTTATAAAAAGGACAAAGCGGTCACTGCAAATATATTTCGGTTAACAAGTCCGGAGTCGAATCCCACGGGGAATTAACCTATCAATCACAACTATTGAACTCACAGAAATTCACGTATTCAATCTTCAAAGATAATTAAGTAACAAATTGGGTGTTTATTAACTAAATATTACATAGTAAAAAATGCAGTAATTAAGAACTAACTATAAACGGTTTGTAAGCAAGAATGGGAATGATCTAAGGTTCTGATTTCCCCTGTTGTCAGAATCCTTTCCGCTATGTTTGCTATAAATTCGCCTAAGTCTTCTCTATCGATCATGAGCACTCTGACTGTCGTAACTCTCTCCCGAGTAATTACAACAATATACTAGACATATTCTCCCGAATTACGCTAGCTAACTTTAAGTACAGCTTACTTAGATCGCACCCAAGGTTTCGTTATCCCTAATCCCACCTTTAAACCCTTCGTATTGATCCCTCATATACGTTAGGAGTGATGATGTTCAACAACTACCTAAATATGCACTCTCTCCCGAGTAATGCACACTGAATAGGAACAGCTAATTGAGGCCCTTCAATCAACAACAATAAGCATAAAGTTGAACAAATAGAGATAATACTATGACAAATCTATATTAACATAACGAGAAAACCATCCTTCAACAGGTTCCATGAAAACCCTAGATTATGAGTTTAGCAACTCATACTCATAGTACAAATATCCAAAGTAATTTGCATAATTAAATTACAGAGTAAGGATAAAGAGATGTAGAAATTAATGTTTTCAACTCCCAAGTAGTGTTCCACGAGCTATTTCTTGTCTCCGATTGCAAAAGTCCTTCAAAGTGGCATTTTTGGGTCTATTTATATGTTTGGGACAAGCCCTAAACGTGTGAGCCAACTCCTAGTCAAATCGGGAAACAATAAAAACCTTCAAAACTCGGACTGGTCCTGGCCTTAGGCCTGGTGTTGCCTGGATACCTGCCTAGGCCTGGCTTTAAGCTGGCTTCACCTGGATAAAGCTTGGTTAGGCCTGGCTTTAAGCTGGCCTCACCTGGATAAAGCCTGGTCGAGCTGGCTTTTGCCCGGCTTCTCCTTTTCACCGTTCTCGAGTGCCCTTTTGACATTTAAGCATCCCTTTAGCTCTACTTTCATTTCCGATGCACCTACATATAAAATAGCCTCCATTACGCTCAAACAAAGTGTCTTTATTAAAGCATGTAAAACGCAAAGCATATAATGTGCAAAAATCATGAATTATAGCCACACTTCAAAGTGCATTGATAAGCATACTAGGTTGGGCTGGCCCGCACCAGCACGGGCCCAATATTATAAAAGTTGAAACTATTATTTTTTATTTTACTTTTGTTTTCAATATAAAATTGTAGTCAACAGAAATTCTTGTGTGTAAGTACGGAATCAGGTAGACGACACTCCATACTAGTTACAAACATTTCAGATTCTTTAATCCACGATAGCATCATACCACTTAAGGTGTCACAGTATTTACATCATATATGAGATAGGTATTTACATATGGGAAACGTATTCACATATTGGCTAACGATGATGCTTGTTTCATGCGGTGTTTAATCTTCTTTCTGGTCTTTTTCTTAGCATTTCATGACAAAAAATACCTGTAAAACAAAGCAGCAAGACAATAATATCTACTTTAGTGAGTAGTCAACGTAGAAGAAAAGAGGAGATAATTGCATAAAGAGGGAGTATTTATATGAATCTCAACAGATTTAATTTGAAAAGAAAAGGCTTAGCATTTGAGAGGACGATGCATAAGGGAGTATGGTACATTATATATCTTAACATATAGATTAGTGCTGCTGCTTGTCGAGAAAAGTTGATGCTTTTGTTCATTGTTTGAAAACAGAGCTATTTTCAGTCATCCTCAAGACATAAGAAGGCTTCTCATTGTTCCCTAGAACTTTATATTGTTGTACCTGATGAAACCAGTTACAAGAGTTTTAAGTTGTTGTGTCTCCTTTATTCTCTTTCTTGGTGCTTATAAAGATCTCAACTTTAGCACAATTGCTAAGTTGTTGGATCTGTCTTCAAAATCCTTTAGGTAAAAGAAATCAAGGAAAAGGTGTGGTTTGGTGAGTGGTGAGTGTTTGGGACTACACAAGCAACCAGAAGAAGCTGTAGTTTTGCCCCTAATATAAAAAAAAAAAAGTGGAAAAAAGAGATTCATAGAGGACGAAGGATCCTTTTATGTGTGGGCTTCACAAGGCAGAGACACCCAGAAAAAGCCAGTACTATTTATATTTGTTCAAACTTACCTATTTGTTATAATCAAAACTTTACCTACACACCATCTACCGGGCTTTAACTGGTTTTGCAAACATTAATTGGTCTCATTAAGTCTAAAGCCCTCAATCTCACAATGGTTCAAGAATCATAGATCTATCTGGAGCAATGTAAGTATAAAGACAGTATAAAGACGCTTTATTGCATGAAATACAAAGACCAAAAAGAATTAAGATTTTGTCATTCTTAGAGCTATCAATTGCTCACAATCTTCGAGATTTTAAAAGGGGGTATGAAGCAAAAAAGAAAGAAAGGAAGAAAACCAATAACAGAAGCATCAATGCTATCTCAAAAACTCTTAACTACTTTTTACAGGTTGGCTTATTAGATGTCATTTTATTCAGATACAGCAAAAGGAAAATGAGGTTCATAAGATAACCGCATATCATTTCACTGCAGCCCCTAGTTGCAACAATTGTTTTCAAATGACATTGTGGTTTGATTTCAGTAATCAGTATATTTAGTGTATTAATATCGTGGAATCTTAGAAGTTAAAGGTAATGTAGATTTTGATTTTTAACCAGCTAAACTTACCTGATATCAAAGCAACTAAAGATAACTGTATCAGTATCCAGAAAGCAGCAGCAAAGATGGATTTAACTGCATTCGAAAAAAGCAACAAAAAGTGACTTCCATCACAACATCCCAAAAGAGTAGCAAAAGACCTTTCACTGGCTAAAAACCAACAAATAGTAGTTAGTCAAAGTATTTTTTACGTAACATTTCAGAAACGATAGTTTTTTTCTATTTATAAAAGATGATTTAAGAAGCCAAAAGGCATATCACGTGCGAATTCTATGTGAAAGATTCTTGTAAAGAGCTGCTTGCAATCTGAACATGCTAAGAAACAGAACCAGTGATTCTCATTTGGTAGTGCGAGTTGAACTTCTATGTGAAATATTTGGCCCTGCTAAATTTAGGAACGTCACATCTTCGTTCTTTGTGATTACAAAAAGCAATTAAAAAATCAGAAGAATACATACAAATTTTTATTTTTCTTACAGGATGTTGTTGTTGGATATTGGCAATTGGTATGATCTCTTCCTCAAATGGAACAAACAGAAAAGAGCTTGTTTGAGTTGTACTCCTTGTCGTGTATACTGCTCATGATTTGTATTCGATGCTAATCCTCTCTCGTAATGATAGCAAGTACAGTTATATTACTTTGATGGTAATAATTTCATACATGTAATTATATTTGCATACCATCAAGAAGTGATAGTTTAGTTGTCTAACCTGTTTCAGGTAGAAGCAATGAGTTTCTCATGAGAGGAGAATTTAGCTCACTTGAGACATTAGCCTCCGAGGAGGAGGATGCATCGGTAGTGTTGGTAATAATTGAGTCGTCTGCTCGATTCAACTTTGTTTGCTCGTACTCGCGCTAAGAGAACTTTTTTTATCATCTTGCATCATTTTATATAATTCGCGTTGCCTAGACTTTTTGTCAGTATGCACTTTTCAAAGTTTTGATTGTTTTTATGAGTTTTATTCGATATTATATTATAAAACTAAAGAATCCACAGAGAAATACAATATTAATACACATTATATAACTAATTAAGGAGTAGAAGAGCAGTACTTACCACATAATAAAATGTTTCACAAATGTACGGATCGACAAAGTACTATGGAATGCAAGAATTGCAGTAATGATGAAAATAAAACACAATAAACAAATGAAACTAATAGCCCTTGGTCATTTGTTATCTCTACGATGCTGATAAAGATGAAGCAATTCTTTCTTTAGCATTTGGAAGACAAAATTCTTTTTTTTTTCATCGACATGCAAATCTTTTGCAAGAAGCCTAAAGCAAATGAAACTAACATAATATGTTCTTGTACAATATGTTCTTGTACAGTTATTTACTCGAATGACACTCTCCAATTTAGCACAAAATAGCCATAAAATTATAAAATCAAAAAGTATCAAGAAAAAATTGAAAGCCAACAAAATCAGGAAGTATGACAGAACCCAAAAGATTACGAAAAGGGAAAAAAGGATTAGCAGAAAACAGAACAAATTTTGGGCAAAAAAATACAGAAAGCAACAGTGGAAGGGAATTGAAGAAGATAAAGTGAACAACTCCAAAAAAATTTACGAACCATGACACTATACTCAAAATTTTATTCTTCTTAATTAAGCTTACTACCTAGATCAGTGTCACAATCGGGCTGAGATAGAGAAGCATTTAGGCCTCAGAGAAAAGCAAATCAGCAATGGACAATTATTGCATGTGGCTGAAGCTTATCGAAAATGGAAAATAGCAGAGGCAAGTAGAGATTCTACTAAGCAGAAAATTTGAGGTTGAAGATGAAGGGTTTATATGGTCATTGAGTAGAGAAATTAAGAAGGACGTAGAGAACTCAAAAGAGGAACATACCTACAGCTTGAGCAGATACATTCTTGAGAGCAAGAACACAAATCGGAAGAATAGGTGTAGTAAGTTGGTTTTTCAAATATTAGAACCAAATCAAACCAAGTAAGTCGGTTTTTTTCGATTCGGTTTATGCCGGTTTTTCAGTTTTTTCGGTTATTTGTCGGTTTTTTCTTAAATATAAGAAATACACTACCAAACACATATTCCGGCGACCACAGCTTCAATGTAACACTATCAAATCAATTGTCCTTTGAGAAATCTATTATTTACCAAAATATATTGATGATAATTGAATCAAATAGTGATGAATAATTTACGGACTCAATTAAAAATATGTTATTTTAACACGAAATGGATTCTTACACTAAAAAAAAAAAAACTACCAATCAACTAGAATGTAAAGGTAAAGAACTATATTAAAAGTGCAAACTATTAACATTTACCATAATTTTTTTGAAACTTTGTATAAAAATATACATATATGTAGGTGTAATAATAAATTTGAAATAATTACTCCTATAATCGGTTTGGTTCGGTTTTTTTCTTATTAAAACCAAAATCAAACCAAATTTGATCGGTTTTTAAAATTCAAAATCAAAACCAAACCAAACCAAAAAGTATCGATTTTTTTGATCGGTTTAATTTGATTTTCGATTTGGTTCGATTTTTCGGATTTTTATAAACAGCCGTACTCTTGAAACTTGCTCAGAAACAAAGGACAAAGAAACATTTTACCCATAGGGTGTGTACAAATAATTAACTGCCACGTATACGAAATAGGTATAAGTAGTAATGCCTAAAAGTCAAAAATACCCTCAACCTTTTAATAAATATCACAAAGCAGCCAGGTCGAAACTTGAGCTCTTCTAATATATAGTAAAGTAAAGTAAAGTAAATTAATGAGTCTTGCTTGTCTTCCAAGACGTGTTCTTAAAAAAAACGCTTAAATTAGTTTGCACTATTTGCTATTTTATCTGTTCAACAATTATAAGATAAACAACATGTACATTTTAAGTTTGATATGGCAGATTTAAACGAGAATTTGCCGTCTTAACGTAATTGTACTCCAAAATAATTAACATTTTGAAGATGTCACTTGATACAAGCCTCCGCAATTATAACGGGCTCATGGACAACGAAAATCCAACATCATGCATTAGCATTAACATTAGTGCAAATAAAGACCATACTTTGAAGTTTTCTTGTTCAATTTTCTAGAGAAAAATGCCTTTGATTTAGGCAAGACTAAAATATTATGATATGATGATAAGCTCAAATTATGCATATTAAGTGTGTGAACGGGTAATATCGGGGATAGAATCCCCAATTTCCCATTGAGAAGCTGTCACGTTCCAAATTACCTCCTAGACTTGATTGGCACTCAGCTATCACCCCCACCTGCCAGGCGAACCCCTTTCTCGAACGTTTAACCATTTACACAAATACTGGAGAAAAATAAGTACATGCCTAAAAGTATTTTTAATAGTTAAAGACGAAATAGTTATCACACAATACCTTAGTTAATTGATAGAAAAATCAATAATCACTCAAATAATAAAAGTCTAGCCCAAATCCTACACTAAGACCATGGAACATCTAATAGAGTAATATGAGTTTAACTGACAGCTATGCAAATCCCAAAGAAAAGGAATTAAATAACACGAACTAGGTGAAGCTGAAACGAAAGCCTCCACTGTCACGACCCGGAATCTCAATCTCGAGGTCGTGATGGCGCCCAACATCCACTTGCTAGGCAAGCCGACGTGAAATAGTTAAATAACCAATTTTAGCGGTTAAAAACATAATCGTAGTATACAACGAGAAATAGAAACCAAGTCTGACACAGTACCTATATAAGTCATGTGATAATATCTACTCCCAGAAATTCGGAATCACGAGTACGCGAGCAACTAGAAGTCTACAATAAAGTCTGAAATAAATACAACTGTTTCGAAAGAAATGACCAGTAAAAGTGGAAAAATGGGACTTTAAGGTCTGCGGACGCTAGCAGATCTACCTCGAGTCTCCATATGAAATGATCCGAGCAGACGTACCTCACAGACCGCTGGGACCAATACCAATATCTGCACAAGAAGTGCGAAAGTATAGTATGAGTACAACCGATCCAATGTACTCCGTAAGTGTCAAGCTGGACGAAGTAGTGACGAGGCTATGACAAGACCCTTACGTAAACAAACCTGTACAAGTGTATATAAAGCAGCAATAATAACAAAGAATGATAATGTACAAACTAGGAGGGGACATGCGAAAAGGGAAAATATAACAACTACGACAGGTATGAAATTATGAAATAACCAAGTAAATCATCATTACCGGTAAAATCAGTCAAACCCATGATATGAAAATGGCACGGCATCACCCGTCGTGCTTTTACTCTCGTCCTCACCATGCAATAATATGAAAATAATGGCACGGCATCACCCTTCGTGCTTTTACTCTCATCCTCACCATGTAGTAATAATATGAATGAAATGGCACGGCATCATCCTTCATGCTTTTACTCTCTTCCTCACCATGTAATAATAATAATGTAAAATTCAATGGCACGACATCACCCTTCGTACTTTTACTCTCTTCCTTACCATATAATAATGATAATATAAATTCGAGTAATAAATAATGCGTAGAATAAAATTAACGTTAACTATGGTGCCATGATACCAAACTTCAACTTCCAAAAATATTCAACAACTATGAAATAAGCAATAATTACGAAATGAATAATCAAAGAAGTAATAATCTAACCTAAGCATGGATATCATAATTAACAAAGCAATAAAATACAAAGAAACAAGTTTTACCCACATGCTTTAACCCAATAACAACGCATAAGTACTCGTCACCTCACATATACGTTATTCTCACACATAAAACACGTAGCAAATAGACTAACAAGTCATAATCCCTCAAGTCAGAGTCAATACTCAAATGCGGTTTTTTCTCTAGAATTAGCCTCCAAGCCAACCAAATCTAATCAAATATTGTTCAAATAATTCAAAATAAGCTTTAGAAACTACCCACGAGTAAAAAAGATTTAATCTTTAAGGTGTAATGACCCGACTGGTCGTTTTGACTCCCAGCGCTTCGTTCAGCAGTCGGAGGCCGTGAACAGCTTCATTTCAGGTATTATGACTCGTACGTGTGGTCGGAATCGAATTTCGGGAAGTCCAGAGTTAATTTAGAAGGAGAATTCTTATTTTGGAAGCTTGAAGTTGAAAGAATGAACTAGGAATGGAATTTTGAGTAAACGACCTTGGAATCGGGATCTGAAGGTTCCAGCAGGTCCGTATGATGATTTCGGACTTGGGCGTATGCCCGGTTCGAGTTTTGGATAACCCGGGAGCGTTTTGGCGCCTATTGTGGAAGTTAGCACTTTAGAAGGAATTTTATAAGTTTAGCTTAAAGTGCATTTCAGTGTTATCGATGTCCGTTTGGGATTCCGAGACTGTGAATAGCTCCGTATGGTGATTCTGGAGTTGGGAGCGCGATCGGAAGTGAATTCGGAGGTCCGTAGGTCATTTTGGAGCCATTTGGCTAAAGACAGAAATTTGAAGGTTTTTGAGAAGTTTGACCGGAGGTTGACTTTTTGATATCGGGGTTGGAATCCAATTCCAAAAGTTAGAGTAGGTCCGTAATGTCGAATATGACTTGTGTGCAAAATTTGAGGTCAATCGGACGTGATTTGATAG